GCAGAGCTCGACTGCTCGTCCCACACCCCTGCCCTGCGGTCTCGTCCCCCTAGACAAGGGCCCAGGCGCTCCGCACGGGGGCCCTCGGGGAACGGCCGTTGCTGAAACTCTCGATCCGCTGCCAAGAGCCAGTGGCATTGGAACTGCGGAGTCAGGAGCCCCCACTCCAGGGCCGCGCCCCCTCACTGAGGCCCGCGGGAGCCCGCTCTCTGGCGGGGAGCCGGGAGGTCTCCCCGCTTTGTGCAGGAGGTCCCCACGCTGCCGCCTTGTGTGCACCCCAGACCTGGGTCACGCCTTGCCCTGCGGCATCAGGAGAACTGATGGAGACCACAGGTGTAGTAGCTGTGGCTGTAGGGCCCCCGGGACACAGAGACGGGCCGGCTCAGCCTGCGGGTGAAGGAGGAAGCAAGCCCCTGCCGGCTGCCCTGCTGCCCCCACCAGCTCCCCACCTGCCCATCCAAGGCGCCACCCAGGCACCACCCTGCGGCCCCGCCTGTGTGACTTCCTCCACAGCGTGTCACCCCCGACTGGGCTCCTGGTCTGTTTACAGCTGAGTGTCAGTCTCCTGGAAACTGAAGATGAGACCTTTGTCTACGCAGCAGCAGCCTCTCAAAGCAGCGCAGGGTGGCCCCGAGGTCACAGCGCCACCTGCTGGCATTGCGCCAGGGCCCACCAGCCCGGGGAGCCAGCTGTCCCAGGCACGGCCCAGGCACACCCCAGGTGCCCTGTACACCCCTTGCACCCACAACCCTCAGCTGGGGGCAAGTCCCAGAGACCGCCTCACACCCCAGCTGCTCCTCTGCACCTGTGGCCACCTGGGTCCCTGGCCTCCAGGGAGAAAGCGTCACTCCAGGGCCCTGTTGTGTGTTGAATTGTGTCCCCCCCAACATATATGGGGGTCCTACCTAACCCCGGGCACCTGTGAATAAGACCTTATTTGGAAATAGGGTCTTGGCAGAGGTAACGAGGTTAAGATGAGGCCATGCTGGATCAGGGTGGGTCCAAATCTGAACCAAATGACCGACGTCCTTACAAGAGAGGGAAGGCAGGACAGAGTCACAGAGAAGGCTGCGGGAGGATGCGGGAGGACGGGAGCAGAGGCCAGAGTGACGGCGCGAAAAGACAGGCACCGCGCGGAAGCCGGCCACCACCAGGAAGGTGCTGGGCGCGGCAGGAGGGGCCTCTCCTGCAGCCTTCGGCGAGCCCGTCGCGGCCGATCTCTTGATTTCGGCCCTTCCGGCCTCCAGAACGGACAGAGAAGGGACTGCTGTTCTGAGACACCCAGTTTGTGGTGCCTGGTTAAAGCAGCCCCAGGAAACTCATACAGCCGCCCGCCGGACCCTCCTCTGCTGCCCAGCGCAGCCCAGCCAGGCCCCCGGAGCCTGCTGCCTCAGGCGCAGGGGAGGCCTGGGGCCCTGAGGACCGAGCACCGGGGGGCGCTCCTCGGGCGCCGGCCCCCACGCTGCTGCTCAGCACTGCGCCTCCTGCAAACAACCCCGACCATGGGGCGCCTTCTTCGGGAACATCTCTCTGCTCCCACCTGGGCTGCAGGGAGGACAACCGCCTCTGACCGGGGACTGGCCTGGGAGAGAGGCCCAGGCCCCCGCAGTGCTTCCGGTGAGGCTGTAGCCCCAGCCCCCCGGGGACGTGAAGGCAGAGGCTCCTGCCGAGCCGAGATGGGTCCTGGCCGCAGGCTGTGAGACAGGCGGCCTTCGGTCGTGTTAGTGCAAGTCAGGGCGATGCTGCCACACCGCGGGGACCGCCCGCGAGGGTACGCAGGGACCTGCCCTCCGCCTGTTGTCCCCGCCGCCCCCCCAGCCCGCCCCGTACCCAGCTCTCTGCAGCCACCCTGTTTCCTCTCTGACAGTCCTCTCCTGCCTCCGAGTCTCCCGCACCTCGAGCGCCCCCTACCCCCAACCCACACACTGTTCCCAGACGCGCACCGGGCTGGCTCCTCTTGTTCTTCTGGTCACAGAATAAGGTCACTCTGGAGGCCCTGCGACCCCACCGAGGGCCCCCCTCCCTCAGCCCCTGCCTCCTTTCCCCAGGGCACTGCTCTTCTCTCCAGGGCTGTGACCTCCTGGAGGGGGGGACCATGTGGGGTCTGTCACCACGCCCCCCCGCCCCCAGCACAGCTCCTGCTCAGGGTGAGTGGGGGGCGGGTCACAAGAACTGAATGATAATGACAGGGTCTCGGCGCCCCTCCCTCTTCTGAGCAGCTCACACTGTGGACGGGGAGACTAATAATAAAAGGTGCGTGGGGGGTCCGAGGCGGCGGGATGCTCCGAATGACCCCTGGGTGTCCCTTCCTGGTTCCAGCAGCTCCCGCGAGCACGGTGGGCGCAGCCCGCCCCCTGGTGGCCATCCCCAGCACTGCAACCCAGGCGAGGAAACCAGAAAACAAAACACACACCTTTGTTTGGGTGTAGTCAAGGCAGCAGCTCTCCCCCCGCGCCAGAGGGCAAAGGAACAGGACCTGCAGGCTGCGGGGCGACGCCTGGGACCCCAGAAGCCCCTCTCCATCCCCTCTTTCCCCGCACTGTCCTGGAGCCCAGTTCATTCATGAGGCCTTCTCACCCCAGCCAGGGCAATACCTCGGGACCCACTTCCACACGAGAACCCCAGGTCTGCCAAGGATGGCCGCATCCTTGGTCCCCAGAGGAGGCGCCCCGTGCTCTGCCCTGTCCCCTCCTACCCAACTCCCAGGACCCTCCACCACTCAGGCCGCTCAGAAGGACCTCGGGGGAGTAGAAAGCATTTTCCAAGGACTGAGAGCACAGTGGGGTCCCAGATGGAGAGCCAGGGATGGCAGACTCTTCCAGGAGCCTGTGGGACCCTTGGTGTCACATGATCTCTGCACTCCCACGCACAGAGGAGTAGGCTGAGGCTTTCTCTCCTGCAGCCCCCTGCACACTAGGGAGGGGGTCTCCTCTTAATTCCAGGGGCCCAGAGCAGAAGACGCAGGACTCCACGTCCTCTCCAGGCGATCCTGGGGGTGGCCCCCGCCCAGGCAGCCCCTGGCCATCAGTCTGGCATCTCTCCCCTCCCCATGATATGGACCCCCTGCATGTTGCTAGGAGACTAGATGCTCCTGCCCGCTGGCTGGGCTGCCTCCAACCTCTCTCTGCTTCCCCCTGTCACCTCCGCAGTGTGCACGCCTCCTCTGAACCCACTCCACGGCCCCCACCTGGAAAGTCAGTGTGTTTGTATGTGCCTGTGTCCATGCGGGGGTGCCCAGCGGAAAGGGCCCCACTAGGGAGGGGTGGACAGGGGTTCCCCCAGGATCTTAGAGGTTCTCATTCAAAGGAAACCCCACGGGAGAAGTGAGGCTGGCCTGGGAGGCTGAAACCCTTGCTGCTCCCCTGATTCTGCCCACCCCGTGAGCCCCGGGCCAGTCCCTGCCGCTCTCCCAGCCTCAGTTTCCCAATTGTACCAGAAGGAGTTGAACGCGGAACTGCGTAAGCGCGCGCCGAGCGTGAAGGCAGCGCCGCGCGCCCTCCCCGCCGGATGGGGTGTGGCGGGGGACATGCGGGCGTCCCTCCACCCGCGACGCCGGGGAGGGCGGCGAGGCAGGGCGTGGCACTTACCTGGCAATCTACCATCATCCTCAGCCCCGGCAGCGCATCGCCGGCCCCGGGGTGGGGCCCGGGACTCGCAGAGGCCGCTCGCCTCGGCCCGCGCGCCGCACAGGGGGGCGCCCGGCTGCGAGGCTCATGGCGCGGCCTCCCGTCCCCGCCGGGCCCGGGGCTCTGCAGCCCCCGCCGCCAGCGCCGCTCCCATTGTCTGCGCCGCGCCGCCGGCCGCTCGGGCCCCGCCGCTCGGTTCCGCCCGGGCTCCCGGGCAGCAGCCGGGTGGGCGGGGTGAGCCGCGGCCCCGCCCCAGCCCGCCGCAGGTGTGAGGGGCGGGCCCGGCCTCTCGGGCTCGGGGGCGCGCACCAGCCTCCCTCCTGGGGGCGGACCCCGCCAGGGCAGCTGGGTCTGGAATCCACCGCCGGGCGCGCACACGGGCCCGCGGACAGCGCGTGCACGGGAGCCCCGCCTTGCCGCTCGCGCGCAGCGCACCAAGGACTCAGCGCTGGGCAGGTCCCACGCGTCTTCCGCCCTTATCTCCTGCTGCAGGCTTCCTACGACCCCTGGGACCTCGGGCCACCCGAAACCCAACCAGGCAGAGTCCGCCAAGGCCTGGGCCGTGTGGGCGTGGAAACACGGGAGTCCTTGCAGATCCGCCCCCATTCTTTCGTCCTCATCCCCTGCCACCTGCAGAAGCAGCTCGGTGGTTGCCTGGGGCCCGGGGGACCTGGAAATAGTAACGGACGCCGAGAGTAGGCAGGAACGTGAAGCCGCCCCTTCCACCTCTCCTCTGTATGCCCACCGCCCCTTTCTCCCCGGCAGGAGGCCAGACACCCAGACACCTCCTGGACACGTGGTTCATGGCGGAGAGCGCCCCACCATTGGAAGGGCGGGTGTTGCGGGTGGTTACTGTTATTAGGGCCCCCGGGGGCCTCCAGTGCTTTCACCCCACTCTACGGATGCGCAGCAGCCCCAGTGCTCAGGATCACTCGGCTGAGTGACCAGGTGCTGCTGTGAGCCTTGGGCTTGGAATCATTGTTCTTTGCCATCCCTGAGCCTTGCACTGACCATCAGAGGCCTTTTGTGTTGGGGCTCCCTGGCCACAGAAGTGTCAGGAAGGGGCGGCCCTGGGTCAGCCTTGCAGGGGAGAAGAGCCCCCCACCTCACTCTCGGCCTGGCTCCGAGCCCCGCATCTCTCAGACCCAGAGCCTTCTCGGCCTCGGCCCATGCCCATGGGGACTAGGGCCGACCCTGGTCCCAACCCCAGGGCACCGCCCTTAGACACCAGTGACAGCAGCTTTAGCCCGGGCTTTCTGGAGGACTCCCCTCCTGCTGCCACCCCACGAGCGGACTGCGCCTGCAATCCAGGCTGCGTGTATCATCTCTGGCCAATGGCACAGACACGCAGAGGTACAGGTAGAAAAACCCCGGTTACAGCCTAGCAGGTGCCACCTTTATTAAAACTGCCCCGACCTTCTTACAAAGGAGGCGGCGCGTGCCAGGGCGGGTGGCTGCCATGGGGTGCAGCTGGACTGGAAACCTGAGAGAGCCTGAGCCCAGTCCGGTTCATGGGCTCCTGAGTGGAGTGGGCTCCATGTGGCCGAAGGACGTCCCAGGATTGGGAGCCCCGCAGCCAGAGAAAGGGGGCGGCGGCGGGAACGCAGGCGCGGAGGAGGGCACCCCGCAGAGCCGCTCCGAAGGCACGAAGGCATGGCTGCTGGGGAGCCTGTGGGCCCTGCTCTTTACCATGAGTATCTCCGCCCCGTCCCACTTTTCTTGGGCCACACCAGAGCTTAGGGTTTTCCTCACATGGGCACAGCCCTTTACAGTTCACAAGGGCCCTTCCACATCCGCCTTCTGGTGGGATTCTCGGGACAGAGAGGCAGGCAGGGCGGCACGGGTCTCGGCCAAGGCGTGAGAAGTGAGGCACCGGCTGGGCGAGCAGGCTGCAGGGCGTGGGGCCCTGCCCATGGCCACCCCGGCTCACCGTCAGCTCCTCAGCCAGTTGCTGTTCTTGTCCAGGGTAGAGAAGCGGATCAGCTTCAGGCTGGGTGGCTGGGGCTTCCTGTCGTCCCAGAGGTACTCGGGGGACAGCACTTTGGAGGGCTTGTGTGAGATGAAGCGGCGGTTCAGGTGGCTCTCCTCCTGCCAGGCCGCCATGATGCCGTTGGCCTTGTCCGCCAAGATGGCCATGTGGCAGCCCCTCGTAAACTCGTACACCCTGTCCACGCGTCCCCCAAAGACTGCCCCGCCGTAATAGAAGTCGCCCTCGCTCTCTGGCACAAAGGCGGTGGAGACATGCCTGCGCTCATAGGGGAACTGCTGGCGGGGTACAGAGTAGTAGCCTGGGTGAATGGCAGCCACCAGGTCTCCCAAGGTCTCAGGGCCCCAGTGGTTCCAGAACACCATGTCCACATCGACGCAGAAGAGGTAGTCCACCTCCCAGTGTGCCCGCTGGGCAATGTGCCGGCTGATGGTCTCCATCCGGCGCATGGAGATCTCCTCGAAGCGGGAGTACTTCTGGATGCGGATGACGCTGAGGTTGCGGCCGGGGCCCAGAGCGACCTGTGGGATGGCCGCGGGATCGTCAGTGAAGAGGTAGTAGCACACGTGGTACCCGTGCATGAAGAACCGCTCGGCCGACTCCAGGAAGTGCTGGACGAAGCCGGTGTACCTGGCGGTAAGAGTCTGTCATCCAGTGCGTTTAGTGGGGTCCCCACTATGTGCTGGCGCCATGCAGGGCACGGGGCCCGCCCCTCAGCTCCCCACTTGGAGGAGCCACGCAGGTCTGACCCTTGGGGTCCTTGTCTGTCAAATGCCCACAGTCGTAACACCTACCCCTTAAGGCCATCATCAGAACGAGTCTGAGTGGGGCAGTGCCTCTTCTGCTCGCAAACTGACCTAACTTCAAGCACTAAGTGCCAGGCGGCTTCTAAGGGATTCCGCTGTGATCCCATCTTATCAGCAGAGACACTGTGCCTCGGGGACAGGAGAGGAATCAAGGAGCAGGCACGTGGCTGCATCCAGGGAAGGTGAGAGGTGCTGGGTGCTGGGGGCCCAGGGCAGGTGGCAACCACATAGCCCCGCCCTCCAGGCCACAGCTGATTGGACCAGGGGTCGCTTGGCCCCACCTGGCCACCCTTCACCTGGCCACCCTTCACCTGGCCAGCGCCCTGGGCCTTAGGGCCCCATCATGGTCCCTCTCTCAAGAGTCCTAGAGGGGTCCCAGAGGGAAGCTGACAAAGGCGGCTGCTGTCCCTCCACCCCGCCCATGCCAGGCTCCAGGAAGCCCTCCTTCCACCCGGGTCCAGGTCCCGCCTCACCCAGACTGTGAGCCCCAGTGGCTCGGAGAGGCCCAGCCCGCCACTCACTTCCCCACAGCGAACACGGTGAGCCCGACGGTCAGGTTCAGCGGCCGGTAGATGTTGTGCAGGAGCTCCCGGTCGAAGGTCCCCTCAGAGACGATGGGCGCCAGCCAGGGCGTGAGCGTCAGCAGGTTTGTGGGCCTGGCAGCAGGGGAGGCCCAGGGGCTGAGACCCCCGCCCCGTGCGTGCCTCAGGCTCACCCAGGCCCTGCCTCCCACGCAGCGTGGCCCCGGGCAGCTTCATCCCTGCCTCAGGGCCTCGGCGTCTTCCGGTGGGAAGGCGGGATGGTGAGAGCTACCTCCCAGGGTGGTCGGAGGACTGGTGGTCAAGGCACCTCAGGTGCCTAAGTGTCTAATGAGCGGGGTTAGCAATATCGTCGTTAAAATGCCCTGGCCTGTGCGGCTCAGTTGGTTGGACATCGTCCCGTAAACTGAAAGGTCCCGGGTTCGATTCCTGGTCAGGGCACGTGCCTGGGTCGCGGGTTCAGTCCCTGGACAGGGTTCAGTCCCAGGCAACCGTGGGGACAAGAGGCAACCCATCGCTATTTCTCTCCCACGTTGATGTTTCCCACTCTCTCCTCCTCCCTCCTTTCCTCTCTTTCTAGAATCAATAAAAGAAAAAAAGTTTTTTAAAAAAATCTTATTTCTTTTTAGACAGAGAGGAAGGGAAGGAGAAAGAGAGGGAGAGAAACATCAGTGTGTGGCTGACTCTCGCACACCCCTTACTGGGCACCTGGCCTGCAACCCAGGCCTGTGCCCTGACTAGGAATTGAACCGCTAACCCTTTGATTCACAGGCCAGCGCTCAGTCCACTGAGCCACACCAGCCAGGACAGAAAAAAATTTTGTAAATATCTTGTCATTGATGATGGATTGAGCGCCTGCCATGCGGCAGGCACAACGCTGTGCAGTTCACAAGCCCCGCTGCACCCGGTCCTCCAGCCTCCTGTGAGTGGGTAGCCTGGCCCCAGTCTCCCTGGACGCAAAGGCCGCTGGGCACCTCCGCCGCCCCAGCTTATCAGTTGGAGCTCCGTGCCCCACCTTCCACCCCAGGTCTGTCCACGACACACCGGGGCCCTAAGCAGCGCCTACCTCTGCTCCAGCAGCTTGGGCTGTGGGTACTGCGACCTGCAACCAAGAGGGGCCGGCGTGAGGGAGGCGGCCCGCACCCTGGGGCCACAACGCAAGAAACCGCAATGCGCTTACCAGGCCACCGGCTGGAACGGCTTCTCCCCTCGGTACTGCAGCTTCATGTTGCTGGTGGGTGGAGGCAAGAAAGTCAGAACAAGGCTGAGGCTGACTCCGCACCCCAGGGGGCAGGTGCCCCAGGCTCCACGCCGGCTCCGAGCCCTGCCCATGCTGCCGGGGCTGGGTCCCACTGGGGCGTCTGTCCAGGGCCACTGAGTGGCAGGCTGCATGGTCTGGGAGCTGGCGCTCTGCCAGCTCTGGCACTGGGTAGAGCCCAGCACGGGGAAGGAGGTCGGAGAAGCCGCGGAGAGCCGGTGAGCCCAGTCCTGCCAGTTCCCGGCCTGGGGGCCTTGGGAGAGCGGCCTGGCCCGAGCCCACAGGGACGCTCAGTGCTCCGACCCGGGGTCACAAGCACCAATCGAGGTGCTACGAAGGTATCCGGCAGATGCCAGGAACGCCGGCACCTGCTGGCTGAGGGTACAGATCACCCCGCTCAATGGCTGGGCCTGACACTGTCAGCTGACAGGCTTTGAAAGCAGAACGGAGGTCTCTGTGAAGAAGTCGAGGTCCTGTTGGGGTCAGCTCCGCCCAAGGGCTCACGCCTGCTCTTCCTGACGGCCCGGCCCGTGCTCAGGCTGCCTAGCCACCCCGCGATCAAGCTAGCCAATCTCTTCCTGCCTGCCTGCCTGCCTGTCCATCTGGTCAGCTACCTCGCCACCCCCCTCTCTCCCGCCCTTTCCCTCCCCCTGCCTCTCGCTCCTGCTGGTGCCGGTTTGGCTTCTCAGGGAACCCTGACTGATCTGCAACAAGGGAGCCCGTGCTTAACCGTGAATGCAGCCAGGGATTCGAGTCAGGGGCTCTCAGCCCACACCCAGCAGCGGCCTGCATGGTCAGCCCGCACTGGCGTGGAGGCCGCCCTGGGCGCCACGCACGGAGGGGGCCCCTGAGGAGGGAGGCAGGTTGCAGAGAACCTCCGGTTCTGCCGCCGTCTCACCCAGGGACCTGAGCCAGGCCTCTGACTCCTCGGGCAGGTTGGTTCCTTCGCCCTTAAAAAACGAGACAATAAACCCTTCGGCAAAGAGCTGTTCTCCAGGCGGTGCAGGTGCGGCGCAGAGAGAAGGGGCGGCGCTGCCCCCAGGGCCCCCAGGGAGCCAGCTCCTGCCGGGCCTGCTGTGAGGCTGGGACCCCCGAGGCCTCGGGGCCCGCCGTTCACTTGGGGACGTTCAGTATGTCCGCACGTGACGCCCGGCTTTCACTTCCTTGAGTCTTCCCACCTATTTTGGTTTCTGTTTTGTGTGTGTGGTAAAAAATATGTAACAAAGGTTCACCCTTGAAGCTCTTCTTAGGCGTAGAGTTCGGTAGCTCTAAGTGCGTTCCCAGGGCGTACGCCCATCCCAGAACCGTCTTCCCAACTGAGACCCCGCCCCCAGTCAACGCTCCCTCCTCCCCCTCCCCCAGCCCTTGGTAACTCTTTTCCTCCCTCTGTCTCTAGGAATCTCCTGTAAGTGAATCACACAGCCTCTTTCCTTCTGTGATCAGCCTCTGCTCTGGAATCTACAGTTTAAAAAAGTCAGTCTGTCACACTGGCCCTCTGGCCTAGTTTCACACAAACAAGCACACTCAGGTTGCCGCTTGCACCCACGGGGTCCGAAGGGGGGCCGTGGCACCGGCCAGCCCAGCGCTCCCCCGCCCCCCGCGCTGGCTCCTCCCTGCTCCCCACAGGGCCAGCCACAGAGTCAGGCCTCACACAACACAGCCATCCGAGCCCCAGAAGGAGGAACTTCACCTTCCAGGACCCCCGAGGGTAAGGCAACGACCGGCCATGAGGAAATCCAAAGAGGAAAGACGCGGCCGTCGAAATCAGGCAAAACCGTCCAACTTCAATCTATGAAAAATTACCTCGGTAGAACCCAAAGACTGACAAACTGGAAACAGCAAAAAATGTAGCACAGGCGCCCGGCCCAGGGCGATGACAGGTAACTAACTGCAAACAGGCCACCGGGGGAAGGTGGCCACAGAAGGGCCCCCAGAAGAGGGGGAGGCCTGGGGGAAGGAGGCCTCCGCAGGGATCGAAGGCGGGACATCTCCGCAAGGACACAGCAGCGTGCCCGCCTCTCCAGTCGGCTCGGTGGTTTGGCCTTCGCTTTTCTGGCTGAGTTTGTTTTCTGGTTTCACCCAGGACTTCCGCAGGGGTCCAGGGGCAGTATGTGGCAGGGGGGAGTGGACGGGGGGGCACCCGGGGCCTTCGGGAAAGCCCCTGACACGCTGAGTCCAGAGCCTCTCATGACAACCTGACAACCAGGAGGTCGCAGGCTGGGCTTCCAGTCAGGGCACGTGCCTGGGTTGTGGGTTCGGTACCTGGCTGGGGTGCCTACGAGAGGTGACCGATCGATGTTCCTCTGTAACACTGACGTTTCTCATCCTCTCTCTCCCCCTCTCTTCCCCTCACTCTAAAATCAATGAGCATGTCTGGGTGAGGATTTAAAAAAAACAAAAAAAAAAAAAAAAGGAAAAGAACTTCTCCATGTCCTCCAACCCAGGAAGGGGACACAGTAAACGAAAAGACCTTTAAGACAGAAAAAGCGTTACACCCGAAGCTGCTCGCTGTGGAATACTTTAGGACACCGGGAAACTGGAAGCCACCGAAATCCCCGAAGTTGTGGGAAAGGTGAGGAGGTATTCTAGGACGATGCCCCAGCCCCGGGGCGGACTAAAACGAGAGTGACCGTGAAGAGTATGGACACAGGCCGAAAAATAAAGCCACTTCTGGGAAACAGGATAAAAGCCCCCCGAGACGTTAAGATCACAACTATCTCCAATAGCAAGCAGCCTTTCTGGCTTTAGAACCAGGTAGAGGCATAACTGGATCATCTAGAAACTACAGCAACCGACAAGCCAACAAAACCCTCGAACTGGATCCAAATTCCAACGCCGGGGACCCAAGAGGGTTTTTTTGTTGTCTTCCTCTTTTCTGCTTTCCAGCTTCCTAATTTGCTATATCCTGTGTTTTTATAATAACAAAACAGGCGTCGCTAACTGGTAGCCTGTGGTCCAGCTTTTCAACTCTCCTTCCTCTGTCAGGGAACACAGGCCCCTGAGGCCCGATGCCCCTTCAGACTGTCCCAACCCTTCGTTTCCCTCTCAACTGCCAAAAAGTCACATGCCAGACTTGGGTCACACGTTCGTTCGCTCCTTGAGGACATGTGGAACACAGCGTTGAGCAAAGTGGTCAAGCCCCACACACGCTGTTTCCTGAGGGCCCGCTGCGTGTCGGGGGCTCCCCAAGCTCTCGGACACCCTCACCCTCCAGGACGCCTCTGCCTTCCCGTCTGACGGGGCAGCCAGGGAGGCGGGGAGCCGTGCAGCACGCTCAGGGCCCAGCTGTGGAGGGGGTGTCGTCAGGACCCCCAAACACCCACGACACCCAGGACCCTGCAGACAGGTGACCTTAAGAACTCTCCCGCTTCCCCCGCTCCCCGCAGCCCACGGCCCCGGTTCTCCCAGCCCCATACTTACAAGATCGCAGGGCAGGGGAGATAATAGGGGACGTAGGAGAACGGCAGCCAGTTCTCGGCATACACCCTGGGAAGGAGGAACACCTGCTGATTCCACTGCTCCAGAGGCGGAAAGCCCGCCTGGGGGACGTGAGCGGGAGTCAAGGCCCCCGTGGTGCGTCTGCGGCCCCGAGCTCTCCTTAGGCCTGGCTGACCCTGGAGGACAAGGCTGCCTGGTCTTCCGGCATAGTCATTAGCCACCCGTGAAGCCATTCATTCCTGGGGCGGAATGTTCTCGACTCCGGGCCCTGCACACAAGGGCAGGGGCTGGGCGGTCTGGGGCCGCCCCAGGGACCTCACAGGCAGAACACACAGGGTGAACTTGGGAGGGTAAACAGTAAATGTGGCTTGGAGGATGGTGGGGGCAGAGGGAAGAGCAAGTGCAAAGGCCCGGAGGCCAGTACTAGGCAAAATTCAGAAGCCTAGTTTGGTCTCTCCGAGGTTGGGGTTTGGGGGTAGGGGGGCAGGTGTGCCAGGGGAGGGGTCAGGTTTGGGGGATGAGATGACAAGAGAGAAGTTTGAGGTGGGGCTGGAGGGCCCCATGAAGCGTGCTCACCACAGGACGCCGAGGGCCGCGCCCACCAGCAGGCAGCACCCCAGGCCCAGGGCCAGTCGGCGGCAGCGCATGGCTGGGTGCAGCACCTGAGCCTGTGCGCCTGCTGAGTGCCCTGGCGAATAGGCCTCCTCTCCCAGATCCTGCGTCGGCAAGGGGTGCACCTGCAAAGAAATGCTTCTTATCCAGAGGACAGCAGCGCCATCCTTGTTGCCCTGCCCTCCCCTGGGCGGCCCCCCCAGGGGAATGTGGATCCCAGGCCCTGCTCTCGCGGCTCAGCGCTCAGCAGAAGCCTGCAGCAGTGCCTGGGGACGGACACACCGCCCCCTACCTGGGACTCTCGGGGGTTCCCTCCTAACTCCTCCCACGACGCTGGGGAGAGGCCCTGGGTGTGGCGGGGATGCGCGGGGGGCGGGCGTCTGGGCGGGGCTTGGAGAAGGATTCCCGCAAGCAAACGCTAGGAAAACCGGAACTCGAGCCTAGAGCCTGTACCGCGTGGACAGGGCCGCGCCTCCCCAGGGCGGGGGGGTGGAGGGGTGGCGGCAGTGCATTGCTCTGAGAGGTGAGGCCTGGCCACTCTAGGGGACCGTGGAACGCGCTCCATCGTTCCTCAGCTCGGTAACGAGGGGCAGGTCCCTCTCCCGCTCCCACCACAGCCTCGGGGATCTCCCCGGATAAACGGGCCGCGGAGGCGGGGAGATAGGGCAATACGCACCGCCCCAGAGAATGACGTGCGGGAAGGGCTCTACAGCACCGGGCTTGGGCGACCAAGGGTCACAGCGAGCGCGGGACCGCAAGAAGCCGGGCGGGGCTCCTCCCGAGGTCTGAGAAGGATCCCGGAGCTGGAGTTTCCGAGGCCTCTGGCAAGCCTCCTGCGCGGGCCTCGGTTTCCCCATGCGTCCTCCAAGCCCCCGCCTCGACTTTGGCTCCGCTAGGCTGTGCCTCCCGCGGGGCCCAAGACGCAGAGCCGGCCCGAGCCCTGTCCACCCCAGTTCCGCGTCCGCAGCGAAGCGGCCCGGGAGGAGGCGCGCACCAAGACTTCCGCCCGGCAGGGCGGGCTCAGGGCTCCGGGCGCGACGCGGGAACAGTGTGGGGCTGAGGGGGCGCAACTGGCCCTGCGGGGTGCAGACTCACCCGCTGCGGCCAGACTCGCGTTGGGAGGGACGGAGGGGGCTCACCCCGACCCGGTGATCAGGGACTCGGCTCGCCAGGGTCCCAGCGAGATCCCGTGGCGGACCGCGCCCGAGGAAGAACACCGGTAGGGCCTGACCGAAGGCCTGCCGCCTGCGGGAAGCGGGACCGAAGGCCAATGAATCTCTTGCCCCTCCCACGGACGCAGCCCGCGCCCCGCCCACTGGCCACAGTTCCTGCCTCCGGCCCACAGCCCGCAGTCCTCTGGTTCCCAGCACGCACCGCACCGAGTCCCCGGGGCTCTGCCTGCCCCTAGCCATCTGCTCTGCGCCCTAAGACAAAGCAGGCCCTGCTCCGGAGCGAGAAGCACGGGCCTGCGAACTCGGGGCCAGACCTGAGAAGTCAGAGAAACGATTTGGGGGAAAAACTTGAATGTCTTTAGAAAATACTGAAGCAATCACAGTTAGGAAAAACCAGCTGGGCTTCGCACTGACTCAGTCTACGATCGTTCCTCCTTTGCTCAGGACGTCCGAAGCCGGCACCTGGCCTGGGGACCAGGAGCCGCTCCCGGAATCTCCTGGCGCCCCTGTGACAGCTGGCCATACTGTCCTTCCAGGGCCTGTCGGTAGCATTGACCCTTGCTCACACCCAAACTCCAGGAGCCTCTGGGGGGCCCTCTTACAGCTTAGGTATGGTGAGGGAGGGGACAGGGAAGGTGCCCCATGGTCAAAAGGGTAGCAGTAAAGTGGGGGCAGGGAGAAACCAGATACGGAGAAACCACAGAAGATAAAACAGCTGCGGTTCAAGGTCACAGTGACGCAGCTTGAAGTTGCAGACTCAGATCTGCCTGGCACCAGGGCACAGCCCCCCAGGCCCCTCATGGGGGTTATCACCAGGGTCCTTGGCATTTCTCTCTAGGACCTTGGGGCCCCGTAAGGCAGGACCCTTCTCCCCAGCGTCTGCAAGTGCCTGGCAGAGGCCCGAGGAGCGGGTGAGTGCTGGCTGAAAGGTCACCTTCCATGTTTAGATGCAAACCCTGGTTCCTGGGGTCCTGGGCTGGGGCCAGCTGGTTTGTTCTTCCCACTCGGTTAAAATTTGGCGAGTTCCCTGGTGTGCCCTTGTGTTAATGGGGGGGGACCTGGCTCTTCTCGCTGACGCGTGCAAAGAATTATAGATCGGCAAATCTGTGAGTGTGCAATCAGGGTTTATCAGCGATCCGTTCCCCGGCAGAGAGCGGGCCTAGCTAGAGTGTGGCGGGGAGCGGGGGGGGGGGGGGTGAGGGCGGGGGAGCAAAGGCTCAGGGCACAGCAGGGCGGAAAACATAAGGGCAGTTGAAGGCTGGGGTGGCCTGAGCCCGGGCAGCCAGAGTGCCAGGAGCCAAGAGAGCAAGCCCTTTGTCCTGAGGGCTTCTGCGGTTGGCAGGCTGGGGCTGAAGAAGTCACATGTTGATTAAGGGGTGAGTGTGGTGCCAGCTTTCCCAGGGAGACACGACCACCCAAACAGGTACGCGTGGCGGGGGCGGGGGGGTCTGTTAGCCTGAGTCCTTATCTTGCTCCAGACTCTCCTTGTCCATCTTGTCCTAAAACAGGAGAGTGACAGGAGACTGCTGATGACAGTTGGGGCAGTCGCTCCCAGTTAGTTGTGGGCTCTTCCCGTAAGCATCAGGGACTCCCTTACAAAACGGGGTGACTAGAGGTGGGCACTTAACCAACGCTGTTTTGTGGGCTGCTGCTTTGGGCGCTGTGGACCCTCTCCCGCCTTCCAGGCCTGGGGATGAAAGCTCAGGTTCAAGGCTTTCTTTCCCAGAGGGTGGAGACACTACATAGACTTTCGAGGACTTCCCTCCTCCCATGCTAACAGAGTGTTTCCTGTGGTGTTGGGACACCCGGAGATACTACCAGGCCAGGCTCAGGGCTGCTGAGTCAGCGGGTGAGACACGTCTCCCTCCTCCCTGCCTCGGTTTGCGGTTCGTTCTTCCTCAGTGATACACAACGTGTCCTGGCAACCAGGATGCCCGCCGCTGTCCAGGAGCAGGGGCGCAGCCTCAGAGCTCCACCTGGGCTGCCTGCCCGCTGGGGACACTGGTGCCTCCCTGGGGACAAGGAGGTGAGCACGGCAGGCGGACCGAGCACCCTGCTGACTGGCCTCGGCCCTCTCCTGGCCCAGCCCGAACGCTCTGTCCTCTTCCTCACCCCCGGACAATACATTCAGCCCAAGGTCAGCCTCAGGCGTGGCTTGGGAGGAGCTGGGTGAAAAGATTGACGTCACACAAAAGTGCACACCCATGTTTTAAAAAGCTTCTATTAAAAATATTAGGGTGGGGAGAGCCATGGAGACGCCTCACCCCACCCCACCCCTGCCTTTTACAGGCTGTGGGTGAGATGCTGTCCTGCCTGTTAGGGTATAAGCTCCGAGGGCAGGCACAGTGTCTGGGGTAAAGAACATTCTAGGGGACAGGGCAGGGAGAGCAGGCTGCAGAGGCTTCCTAGTGGGCACCGAGGAAGGATCCAGGGCCATCTCTCCATTCAGGCCTGCTGGCTCCTGTGCCAGCTCCCGGTCCCTGGCAGAGGCCGGCGTGGGCGCAGGCAGGGGACGGCTCTCCCTGCAGGATGGTGGGTCTGGATGCTGCTGGCCCATGCCAGAGCTGCCTCCAATCTCACGTCAGGGGTGGGGACAGTGTGGAGCTGCTCTTCCTGGGCCTCAGGGTACTCTAGGACAAAGCTCATGTTAGTGTCCCCAACCTCTGGAGCTGAGGAGCTGACCAAGTTCACACAGCAGGCAGCAACCTTCCTTCTGGTGAGGTCAGGGTCAAACTGGAGCAGGTCCAAGGGCTGGGAGCAGGAGCTGTCCCTGGTCCCGGCCTGTTGGCTGCAGTGGTCAGAGCTCTTGGGGCCGTGGGTGCTCATGGGAGCCTGTGGTCACAGGTGATCTGTACCTGGGAAGGTGTGAGGGACATGCAGGGAGGACACTGCCCCGTAGCCGGCAGGGCCCCCTGCCCACAGACAGCGCTCCTTGGCAAAAGCCAGCCAAGGGTGCAGAAAGCATCGACGGTCAACAGTGATCCCTGAGAGGTCGAATGGCACCGTCATTGCCAGCACAGAGACTTCCAGGGTGAAAATGGCCTCCGAGGGGCCTGGGCTGGCAGGGGGCGTGGAAGAGGCCCCGATGGCCCAGTGCACTCCAGTCTGTATTTGCCTGCCAACCTGACAGACCAAACCGCTGGCGCGGGGGCCCTGTGGCTGTCCAGTTCTACGGGTGACTTCCACCAAACATTTAAGGGAAAACACACTAGCCCTCCCCAAACTGCCACAAAATTAGAGTAAAAGGAACACTCTCAAACTTATTTTTGCAAGCCAGTGTTATCCTGATACTAAATAAGATAATGCAAACAAGGACACTACAAGAAAACTACAGGCCAATACCCCTGAAGGCTAGCGATGTAAAAATTCTCAACAAAATACTGGCAAACCGAGTTCTGCAGCATATTAACAGGACCACGTACCACGGTTACATGGGACTTATCCCAGAGATGCAAGGACGGTTCACCCTGCAAATCAGTCAATGTGATGCATCACAGTAATAGGATGAGAGATAAAGGCCATACGATCCTCTCAAGCAGGAAAAGCATTTGACAATATTTGACATTCATGCATAATTAAAAAAAACCCTCACCAAATTGGATACAGAAGGAACAAACTTCACCATAAGAACAAACTTCACCATAGACAACAAACCCACAGCTAACATCACACTCAATGGTGAAAAGTCAAAAGCTTTTCCTAGCAGATTTCCCTGGCAAATCACCTTCCTGGGTGGCTGTCACACCAGGGAGTTCGTGGGTGTCAGGCGCCAGCGTCACACGCGGCCCCTGGCTGTCCTGGCAGGGGAGAGCCTGCCTGTGCCTTTGTGACCCTGGCAGACACTGGAAAGAGGGGACAACTCTTAGCGCCATGGTAAGAGTTTCCCAGGGTTTCCCAGGGAGGATGTCTATTTTTTATTTTATTGCTTTGTCACTGTTTTTCCCGTTCCCATTTACCTTCCTTATGCCATCTTCCCCCTCCACCCCCCCTGCCCTCTCCTGGGGAGGATGTTTAAATGCCAGGTGGTAACCCCATCGCGCTCTCTCCCCCGGGGCACGCAACCAGGTGGGCCTGGTGGCAGGTGGCACGGGCTCCGAGGCCCTCAGCTTTAACATGACGCAGCAGCTCCAGACCTTGGCTCTTGCTTTGGCCTTGCTGAGGACAAGGTTGAACTTTTTCGGGGGTGGAGTGGGCAGAGATGGGGCATTGGCCACCGGAGGGGCCACTTCTATTTCCACCCCAATAAGCCAGCCACGCCACAGCCTCCTGTGCGTGGGTCCTTGAGTGCTTGCAATCCCGTGGAAGACAACACCCCCACCCACCGGTGGACAGGTCTTCCTTCTCTGCGTATCAAACTCTCCCAGAAAGTCAAAGGCCAGGGAGGGTCCTGCGCAGGGGGGCCTCTGATTTCCACCCGCCCCCCGCAGGGACTGCCAGAGCGCTCACCTCCTTCCTCCCCTGCACATTCATCAGATCCCTCTGAGAGGCCACAGCGAAAGTCCATCAGAAAGACCCTCAGCCCCTTACCAGCCCAGCCCTTCCCACTCTGCACTACCACCCTAGCCCACCAGGGGGCAGGGCCTACACAGAAAACGGGCAGGGACCTAAGTCTGGCTCCAGGCTGGGAGGGAGCTGGGCGTGGGAGTGAGGCCAGGGACTGCCCGGCCCGGCTCTCGGTTCAGACTGAAGGAGGGAGGCCTCTGGCCACACTTGCCTCTGCCTGCTATCTCTGCGTGGGGCTGCCTTCTCCCTGACCTCTTCAGGGTGGCTCTCCTATCATTCTAGCCCCAGCAAATGCCCCCAAATGAGCCCAGGGGCACCCCAGTCCTCCCTGCAGCTGTGTTGTCACTCTAGTGGAGCTCTTTTCTTTCACTGGTCTCTGAGTTCGTGCTTTTGCTCATCCCCCAGCGCCCCCCCCCCCCCGCCCCAGATGGCCCTGGGGGACAGGGACCCCTGGGTGGTTTTCAGCACTGACCTTGGACCCATCAGGTCTTCTGCCCAGCGGGAGCGCTC